TGGCATTTAACCTAGTCTGACTTCCAAATTCCTCTCATAGATCGTAATAATTGTTTCAAGCAGTAATTTCTTTGAAAATGCAAGAAACAATTAGTTCCAGGGCATTAAATAATGTGTTAATTATTAAGCATGTATAACGTGTATATGTTTATACGTGTGCTAAATTAACATGTCAGAATCAATCCTATGTAACGTTGGCTCCTGAGCCTTTCCCTTACCACGTGCTGTGTGGTACTCACCTGTTGGTACTTGCTTGTTTTGTACAGGTTACTATTTTTTAAAACAGACAACCCTAAAGCGCTCCAAGGCCTACCGTACAAGTGAAATGAGCTGTAATCAAACAGTTCTGATACATTAATTCATTTTTAGGTCAGTCATCATTCATTACTACCTGCTACAAAAAAGAGAGGCTGTATTCAGCTCCCACTATCATAAAGCCAGAACACTGGATTTAGCAACTTCAGTTGTTTAGCACCTCGTTGTTTCCTTGCATCAGGCAAGCTTTATTCATTTCTGTCCCGTACACTGTCTTAACTGAATTTTGCAGAAGGACATGCAGCCTCTTTTGATGATTGGAAACCCCATCGCGTACTATGAAGTAGTTTGTTGCAACTTCTGTTAATGGATTAAAGTATTTAAAACAAATTAAATCATTAGTACACCAGTTTGTGATGTAAACAGTTTAATGAATATATAAAGCACATATAAAGCAAAAGATTAAAACAAAATTATTGTTACAACCACCATATAAAAATTTTTTTTACAAGCATACTGCTTGCACAGCAGATTTTACAAAACAGTATATCATCAGCAATGCCACTCCCTGAAAACTAAGACTTGGAAATAAAAATCACAGTAAGTATTTACTTAAATCACATCATATACTAGTCAGACTAGCATTGATTTAACTACTTTTCAAATTGGTGCTGTAGCATACATTAAAGCTTGCACAAGAAATGTGAATAGAGTTCAAGTACAAAAAGAAAAAAGATGCCTGAATATTCTGATGAATGTTTCCGTCCATGTTGTTATTTAAAACCGTGGTTACTAAACGTTTTGCCTGTGGATGTTTATCGCAACCCTTTTTTGTAGATCCCCATTACAGTGCCTGTTTCACTCCGGGGTGGGTTTGGAACTGCTGTTTCAGAAATGCTGACCCTAAACCCTGGTTCTGCTCAACTCGAGAAGAGCTTTGTTCAGCCCAATGCTCCTTATACCCTCCATCTGCTGTAGCAAGGGGAAGGGCTGTGTTCATTCCCTGCACCCAAACACTTCTGTATCGGGAAAGAAATACAGGAGCAAGGCTTCCCACAGGCAACAGGAGAATACTCAAGATTTCATACACAACTGAAGCAAAACATGAGAGAAAAGTCAATTTAATCTTTCACTAAGGCTGGCCTTGGCCTATTATTTACTGCCATTCACAATATTTTGGTCTGTTGCATGTGTGTTACAAATGTAGTTTACAGTTTAGTATGTTAATGCATAATGTTAAACCAGGAAAGTTTTTGTTTCACCTACTAAAATCCAAACTTTAGTAGAAAAAAAACAAAAGAATCACAAAAGCATGAACAGCTGTGTAACAGAAACAAAGGAGCACTCAGTGGATACTGAAGTTGAATACAGGCTAATATCTAGGAGGCACAAGAAGGATTTCATAATCTTAACAAACTTGCTTATATCATCATTGTTTAGATAAATATTCTATGAAGATTAGAAACGAAATAATTTATTTTTATACTACTGTCTTGCATGCTTTTTAAAATGTCTGCACCGCAGTTTCTTTCTGTCACTCTTTTCAAATCTTCTTAAATACAATTAGGTTTAGGCTCTGCACACCAATAGTTCTGTTTGGAATATTCTACCTTAAAAAAAAAATTCTTTAAAGTACAAAATTCAAGCTGGTTTTGAGTTTCAGTTACCTACAGTTCATGGGGCAGGGATTGAGGGAACAATGGCAAATGTGCATTTGCTGCTAGGGCAGGGATTGAGGGAACAATGGCAAATGCATTTGCTGCTGCTTAGAGAAGGAGTATTTCTGTACATTCTAGTATTTCTATTTTTATTTACTCCCATGGGACTCCCACGCACTCTTAATTTAACTTCAGAATTCCAGGGTAAGGGAGAACCTGCTCCATGGGAGAAAAGGAGGCCACAAAACAGTCCCTGCTTTGTTCCTACCCCACCTTTCCGTACACAATAGTGAATATTATTCATTAATGTACTTTTCAGCTATGGCTGCAAGATGAAAATGCCTCCACAAAGAATTTATAATGTGTTTTCCTTGAATGTCAGCCCTAAATCTGTATAAAGAACAATTGTTGTCTTTGCATTCCCATGCTTGCTGGTGTGGGTAGTTGAGTTACACACTCCCACTGGGGCACGGGCTGGTCGAAAAAAGAAGAGGGCAAGAAAGGCAGCTGCAGAATTGCTTTGAAATGCTTCAAAAATTAACCAGAAACGAGTGCACGCAAATAAACAGTGCAGCCCCAGGATTTTCAATTTCAAGCCTTTGAAAATCATCCTGTAAGGTGCTTTTCATGGTACCTTTTTACCAAAGACCTGTTTACTTAGTGGACTCTGGAAACCTGCCAAGGGACTTTATTCTATTTCAGCTCTTCCATGAACACCTTCAGCATGTACCACTACTCTGACACTCTACCAAATTCAGCTACAACTATTTTTAAGCACAAATGAGACTATTTGCCATCTAGATTGCCTCTGATAGACATGTATAAATAAATGACAACACAAGCCTTCCTTAATACAAGAAACCAAATGGCATTGATTCAAAGGCTTAAGTAAACAGCAGTTCAAACAACTGTCTGTGGCACTTGATCCATATTTTCTCCACTGAAACCCTCCTACAATAGAGCTTCCTAGGATGTGTTTTCATGCATCAGTATTATCGTTGTGTGAAATAGTGCTAGAGACACTTTGGCACTGCAAGTCCTAATGTGACTGACTTGCCAAGATAATAAAACTTCTCTGTGCTTCTAGCTGAAATCTGCAAGTCAGGACTCTGTAACACTATATGTAGTTTTTCTTAAAAAAAAATACTTCTGCTAGGTAAAAAATGTTAGAATCATCCATAATTCTGCACTGGTTTACAGACATTTAAGTGCCTCAAAATAGCAGTTCACTGAACAGCAACAGAGATAAGACAGATGGTATCCTGCCCTCTCATACATAATTACGTAGAGTGCTGTAGAGAATCATAGTGATCGTGTTCTCACTGAAGGATAAAATACAGAATCTGTACAACCTGCAGCCATTTTTTCAGTGACTTGGTTTGTTTTATTGCTGAGCAAGAATGTACATACTTCTGCATACTCTATATCCAGAATCTAAGTTTTTGGTATTGTTTCCTTGGTGTACAAAGAGCATTTCATATACTATTTTTCCATCGAGTAACACTGTACATGAATAAAACAGCAAGAGTTGAACTAGCCAAACAGGTTTGAGAAAATAGCAGTGTTGGGAACAGTCTCTGATATTTGCATTATCAGTAAGAAAAGTGGGTTTTTTTTCATTCTCATTGCAACTGCTTGTTGCATGTACGAACATCACATACCTACAGAAACAACTGTGTAATTGCTAAATCTTTGTCTTGAGTATTATAGTCCCCGGTTTGTAACTGTGAGAAACAGACCAAAATACACAGCTTGCTTCATACTGCCTGCCAAGCATGAGAAGCTTCTGGTTTTAAGTTTCTAGAGTATTTTTCATCCAGCAGTCTATACGTTACAAGTCTTCAGGGAAGGGTTATTATACATTGTGCTTCCAAATACGGAGCTGTGAAGTACACTGACGGCCTGTGGCTGTCATATGATCACAAATCATTTTTAAACCACCAGGTAGCATGTATCATGTCCCAGTGCAACACTGAGAGAGCCAATTTGGGAAAGCTGCCTGTGCTAACCCATCCTGGCAAGCATCACAGGTTAGAACTGCTGAAGAGACAGCACAAGTTGTCAAAGGTTATTGAAAAATTTGGGTCCAGCCAGCAACTATGAGCATTCCTTTTTTGCAACACACAACTTGAACAACTACATCAAACAATATATTCAGCTAAAACAAAGGTTTTACAGCCCTACAGTAGTTCCATTCAAATGCTTATGTAGTGCAGGAACACACAAACACAAGACTCTGCTTACCATTTATGTGGAAAAGGGAACAGTGAAAGTATCTTAAACTTTGCCACTTGAACAACAGGGAAGTAACAAGCTATCTGCATAATCTATGCAGATAAGGAGGAGGGTTAATCCAGGAAAAGGAAAGAATTCAAGTAATATCTTTTCATCAATTAATACACCTTGGTTTTCAATTCATAATGAAGACATTGTTTGTTACACAATTTCTAATATGAAATGCTTGGAATATAAAACTTCACTTCTTGCCAGAATAAAGCAGCTGGACTATTTTGTACACCTGGGATTCAGGATAATATCTGTCAAGCCATTTCCTAAGCAATGCTATCAACTAACCTTAAAACATGCTCTTGCGCAAGCAGGCTGAGAATCTGGCCACAGTTCTTTTTCTTTTTCTAACATCTATTTTTAAGTCTGTCCCTCAGTTAGTGACAAACTATCTGGAGATTGTCTTGCATTTAGTGCTCTCATCCAGCTCCATTTTGCAAATATTGAAGAACACCACACAAAAGCAGACCAAAGTTTCTCTAAATGGCACAGCATACAAATGCATACAATGCACCACATCAAACAATCATAAAAATTCCTGTCAATAATGTTTCTAGAGCCACCTGGATTTCTAATACTCCTTGTTATTACCCAGAATAGCTCCTCTTGTTTCCCAGATCTATGCCTTTTTTTTTGTTGTTTTCAGTTTAAAGCCAAGCATTAAATTACACATCTGCAAGTACCATCTTGCTGGCTAAGTCAACTCTTGCATTATAGCAGTTACACCTTCCTTCAGTCCCACCCTTCCTTTTTAATTGTACTTTGCTGTAGCTGTGCAGTTCTCTATTCCTCAGAGCTCACCTTGCCCGAGCCCCGCCGGGGAACGTGTCTTTCACCTCCAAAGAATCTGCCCAGCGAGTCAAGTAGACCCGAGTCTCTGTGCCTTGGAGATCCATGTCTAGCATGGTCTGTAATGCTCGCAGATGCCATTTTTGATCCGTGCCGGAAAGAGGAGCGTTTTTGTGAAGCCATCAAATCCGAATTCTCTGAAGCTGCTGCACTGTCCTCTTGGATGGTCTGTAGCTCGTCTGACTCCGAGGGCCGATCTTTGAAGGTGTTGTCTTCTCTTCCTGGGGCATCTCGGGAAAAGAGGCGGATCAAGTGGAGGCGACCAGTTGTGTCAGCTGGGTTGGCTTCGGGCCAGGCATTCTTCGGGTCTGCTGTGCCTTTGGAGTCTGTCACCGCTGGGCTCTTCGTGGAGGTCCCATTGTTCTGGTTCACATCTGCCTCTCCTGCAAACAACAAGGATGAGATATGAATACAGGCCTGTGAAAAACAGCCCTGGAACAATGCTGCTTTCTCTCCCTTGCCTTGAGATGCTCATTTCATACAAAACCCATAATATGTGCAGTTGTAATGAAACTATGTTCTCTACCAGCCTTTAAGAACATTAAGCTATCTTGGAACTGAAACTGGGATGATGTTCTCACACAAAATTAGCAGTAGTTCTAGGTGGTTTTATTTCAATTAAACATATTTGCAAACAGATCGAATAGGTTGTTCAAAAGCACAACTGAAACCAACTTCATTTATAAGGGAGGCTCCCTGATGAGGAGGCTTTCAGTTAAAATGTCTGAACAATCAGAATTCCAGTACTTTCCCTTGAGGACTGCAACTTTAAAATGTGACACTTTTCTCCAAAAGCTGGGGGAGGAGGGGGAAAATTAAAGCAACAGTGGAGGACTGTGCCTTCTCAACTGCATGTTCCCTCTCCACGATGTCAGAGCTTTTATACCTGAAGGTTTTGTCCCCATTTGGAATCCCTCACTGTAACTTCAATACCTATCAAACAAGTGTAATGAGGGGAGGTTTTTTTCCACTATTAAAATTGTCATCACTTCAAAAAAACCAGAAAACACTAAACTGCAATTTCTCCTTGGCCTTCGATTACTGTTTTTCTCCATGTATGATCCTGGCACTCGTCGTATGATGTCCTAGCTCTGATGCTGAAGGCCTAGAGCAAAACTTTCCAATTTGCATTTAGTGCTTGTGAGAATTGACAAAAAGAATTATCAGAAACTGATGAGCTTTTAGCCAAGAAAGCCGCCAAGACAGATCTCTGTGGTGCAAGTGGCAACAAGTCTGTTGCCTTTTCCACAGTTGTGTTCTGATACACACAGTAAAATATCAGAAAAGAATCAGTTGCAGCACACTTACCCATTAACCTGCGGATAGCTCCTTCTATCAATGACAAAAAGTTTATGGAGGTTTTTAATAGTCTGTATCATTATTCCTACTGTTCTAAAGGAAGCTGTATACACTGAGAAATACGTCTTATCTCCAAGGAACACCAGAAGAATATTAGTAGGTCACTGCTTGAGAAGCAGCCTTCAGAGCAGACACCTCCCACAGGCTCACTCTGTGACAGAAATGTTTTTTGGAGTTAACTGGGCTCAAAAGTTGAGGAAGTTACAGTTAGTCATATGTTACCTTTAGAGTCTTCTAATTACCTCATTAAATTCCCATTTGATTTGGTCCTTGTTGCTGTGGGAGGGATAGGATCTGGCAAATACTGTCAACATTTCAAAGTGCTCTGGGCTCAACTACTTTGCTGACTCACCAGAGCAATTTTAGACTTGACACAGCCATTTCATATGATTTTGCTGACCTACGGGGCACTAAAGAAACCTTTTCTCAGGCTGAGAATAATTGTGAAATAATTGTATGGATAACGACACCAGACAGTAATGATGGCTTCTGCAAATATATACCAATACTTAGGTTACAATTTGTTGCCATCAGTCTGGTACAACTTTTCATATAAAAACATAATGTGTAGTTTTGCTGTGCAGGTTTTTGTTTTTGTTTTTTTTCCTTCTGTGAAAACTACATAGGAAATCTTGGGGAACTTCAAGAAAATTTTCTTTGGTTAAAACACCTGAAAGTATTTCTTGGGAATACAATTATTTAACCAATGTTAACTGTCACTGAAGATCTCATCGTGGGCCGGGGGGAAGGAAAATATTTGCTGGCAACTTTGGGATTTTGGTTTTCCAGAAAAGATACTTTCAAACTCATTAGAAACTATGAAAGCACCCAAATGATTTTGTTAATCAAATGAAAGAGAAAGTAACATGGATATATGACACATTCTAAAACTGCAAAATGTTTTAAATAGCAACTCTAAGCCTAGATTCTATACCATAATACGAATCCATTCAAGAACAAAAAAAGAAAAACAAACAAAAGAGCTATTGTATTTAATTAAATGCATTAACAAAACACCAAAGCATCTGCATACTAATATTTTTTACAACAGTTGTTCTTTGTGTCACTGAATACGGGTATTGGTAAGCAACAAAGAAGGGTATTTGTGCCACAAAAGTAGCTTCTCTCAATGCATACGCAGTGAGCTATAAAGTATAAATCTTTCTGTATGCTTTACTTCAGTAATGAAAGCACACATTTAAGTTTTCCTCTAGATTCTCTGCATGCTTAATATTTAAAAATCAATAGCAGAGAGATATTGTTAATAGTTAAACTAACTAATCAAAGTCTTCAAGAGGATTGGAGAGACAGATCACTGTAATAATGGCTTGAGGATATCCAGAATTAATGGAGCATGTAAACATATGCTTATTAGTTCATTTAGAAACAAATATTTAGATGACTTCTATTAAAACCCATTATAAATGCTGTGCATATGATACTGATATTCTTTTTTTTGTTTCTCCCTACAAGATGAAGCTCTCTTGTTAGAACAGAGTACCCTTCTTGTACCATATCCCTTGTACAAGAGAAAGCTGCACAGGGAGGAAGAAGTCTTCAGGCATTTTTTTTTTCATTTAAACCCTTGCAAAATGGGTTAAAGAGTTAGTACAGCAGAAGGCATTGCCATAGGCATTACCAGAAGGCTATTAAAGTGTCACCTATTTACACTTAAGTGAATAAAGTCATTGAAAGCTGCACAAGTAAGAGCATGAGAAAAGCACATCCTCTCTCTAGCCCAAAGCAGCAGGAGGGAGCCAGACGCCACGCAGGGATTTGTCACACCAGCCGCGGCCAAGGACCACTCCCAAAGGCAATGCCACCTTTCCACGTCCCCTTGCTCTATGCAGCTCTGGAGCCTGCCACTGGCACAATTTTCCCTGTGCATGTTGGTGGTCAGAGTGAACAAAGCCATTTGTTGCCTGTATACACAGTGACTCCCAAAATGAAAGAATATAGATAGACCAAAAATTCTGAACAGTCTATTAATGAAACAAAATAGAAACTCCAAAGGTGCTTTCAATTAAACAATATTAAATCCAACCCCCCCATTGGCTTTAATAAGAGTTAGGCCACGTGTAAGTATTTTCAAAACCACTGTGCCTTAATGCTCAATTTGACATTATTAATAGTTTATCCCATTTCTTGAAAATCAACACTTTTACATAAGCCTCTAATTAGCTGGGACCTCTCAGCCCCATGGTTCAAACAATAGCTACTGACAAGACCACAGAAACCTGTTTTATACGAAGTACAACCTCTAATGGAGAGACCCTAGATACAAATATCCTTCTCCTGGGTCACTTTGTAGAGCTGCTCTGTGATAGTCCCTTTTTGTGTATAGAGAAGTCTGTAGCCTTCTTCCATACAGAAGACAACCTGGAAAGAGGTTGTTAAGATAAGAGTTTTAATGTGTCAATGTTAAAAAAAAAAAAAATAATATTACAAGTTTTTCACCTCCTCCTACCCCTTTCCAGTCTTGCTTTCTTGCAGATACTTGTAATTCCTCTCACATTCTTATTTCTGCTCCCTGTACAAATGCTGTAAAATAAATGAGGAAAATGAAGCTGATAAAAGCTGAAGTATATTCCCCTACTTTGGCTTCTCAAGAGAGGCTTAGTTCAACAGTCACAGCACATTGCAAATATTGATTGTAATAATGCATGACAGCATCTTAAATATTTGTATGAAATCTTAAGAATTAAGTATTATTCACTCATTACAAACACCAGAAAGTACATTAATCAAATTTATAACACTGAATATTTAATATATTTTATCCTAACTACAGATTGCTGTGACTGATTACTAATTTCCTTTTTCTTGGCCTTCTTTTCTCAGGGTATGAAGATGCAAATTATTTTCACTTAATTTAGGGACCTTGTGAATCAATTTTTCATTTTAGCTTAAGTAATGTATATTTATAAAGCAGTGCTCTCTTGTATATGAAATATAATGTCCACTTCAAATGTATTTATCCTCTTCTACTTTTTTGGTCCTGTCTCTTCTATAAGACGAGAACTGAATAGTTGAACGTAATGCAGTACGGTTCTCAATTCTGAGACAACTATACTTCAGTATGTTTATTGAAATGCTGATACTAAAATATTAAGTAAAACATCTGGAATTTTGTACTGATTTACCTGGTTTAGTCACTTGAATAAAAGAAATTTATACCTAAAATTTACTCAGCTTTGTAACACCTAAGCTTTCAAGATCTTCAGTAAGCTGTAGTGCTAAGGCATATGTGTAATGTATCAGTAATAGTTTGCCTTGCATTATTTAAGAGGCTGAAAACCACTATTCTGGCACACATGGCTTTTAGTAACATTCATGGTAATGTCTGGACATTTGAAAGAATGAAAAGGACAGAAAAAGCATGTCCATCATCACTACATATGAGCTGCAGTTGAGGATATCTGTGTTCCAACTCTGTGTTAACTGTTTCCAAACATTTTGCCTTTCTTTTTTATGCAGTTAAGTTCTCTAGAAAAAGGACCTTAAGGAATTATTTTGCAGGAAGTATAGCATAAAGCATCCCTGGGAGCCCTGATTCAACTCTGGCTTTGGATACTGTCATAAAGTTGCACACTTCCATTTTTCCTGCACTATCACACACCTCGCTTCAAACGCTTAGCGTTCTTGAGTAGATGTGACAGTGGAGCTTTGGGTGCGCATGTAAATGAAGAGTCTGAACATGCAGCAGTAATTACATACTGTGACCTACTACAAAAGCCAAGATCAAACAAAAATCAGGCCAATTTAACAATTTCCTTGTAAAAAGGAACCAACTATTTGTTGCTCATCTGTATCAAGTATCAAAGGCAAGCGTAGCAAAACCTGTTCATCCTGC